GCGGAATTTTTTTTTTTTTATAAAAAGAGGAATTATACGTTTTAATACTTATTTACCGTCCGATGTCATTTTATTAGAACACATAACCCATAACAAAAATTGAACCACATATAGAGTTTTGGCACTAACCGGAGAATGGTCGATTTAGTCAAAGGTCTTATATGACAATAGTCTTAAATGGTCGAACCATTTTTCCATATTCTTTAAACATCTCATGATTAACTAGATAAACATTATTTAAACAAATATTAGTGGCTAATCGACTGTAAAGTGTTTATCAGAGCTCGATAAATTTTAGCGGATAAGCATATACCGGGTACTGATTTTCTACAGTACATTATATTCCTGTGGAATGTTGAATAATGGATGTAGAAAAGTATTGCACAACATCAAACACGTTATACTATGTACCTACAATATTTCATATATAGTTCACACGAGACCACTCGTGTATGGTGGAAGCTGAGTTCATGAGTATTAATTTTCCAGATTAGTATTCATTTTTATTACCGGCCGACAAGAGATGTGTAAAAAATAAAGTGGTGTGAGCCATTCGCGTATTCTTGTCTAAAAAAAAACTCTCATTAAAATAACGGCCATTTTCTGTACGGTTGATATTATTATTATTATTATTACTATTATTATTGATGTGCAGAGGAAACGCCTCTGTTTTTGCCTGCACGCTACGAAGCTGCGTGCTGGCGATGCCCCTGTAAAATCATCAAAAAAGAAATAACAATAAGAACAGACGCTCCGGCGCCGCTATAAAATTTTTTACTAACGACAAGCCGCCTCGGCGGACGGATGCTTGCCGCAAGAAAAACACAACGCACTACACTACGGCGGGCCCAGGGAAAATGGATGCCGTTTTTTTCTTTCTTTCTTCTTCTTCTTTATTATTCCGTACACTTGTACGCGGGCACGCATACGCACACAACCACGGCCGTAACAGAAACGAATACTGTTATTATTTAAGGGTGTGCCCGGCCGGAGCCGATTTGGCCGGGAATCAAATGAAACGGACCGGCTGAATTGCTGCGGTTCCGGCGAACGAGGCCCATAAATAATATCCACGCAATATCGGCCAGGGCTGGATATGAATAATTGTGGGCAGTGTGTGTATCGTCGACGGGGATAGACCTGCCGGGGAAACATCTGACGGTCGGGGTGGGTTGTGCGGCCGGCCACACCTCGAGTGCCGCCGTGATCTTGTCAAAATATGACACCAATGTGTGTATTACCGGGGCAAAAAAAAACCGACAACAAATTATGTGCGGAGGGGGTAGAGAATTCGAATTGATGACGTTGGGACATAAATAAAAATCTGTACATGAAATTAATTGTATTTGTTATTTACCGTGTACGAACAATAATTGTCTGATGCTAAAAAAAACGCGCGTTTTTTTTAACGAAAACCTATGAACTAACCAATTTAACCCACTTTGTGTCGCGAGGGGTAAAAATTCGTCCAAGTCACACTATGTAGTTTGTGTGACCGACGTTAAAAATAACACCCAAGTCAAACTCGATGTAAGTGCAACGGGAAACCGCGAAACTGATAGAAGGTTAAGAACATTTCTAAAATATTACATTTTCTTCGGAGCATATTTTGTATCGTAGAACAGATTAATATCGAATAGTTGTTTTGGAATGATGTTCTTTTCTCTCATACGATAGATTTCTAAGATATAGGTTATTTCACTAGGTGTAGCCTAATGTTACGGTAATCATATATGTTTGGATGATAAAATATTATATATTCACAAAATGTTTATTAGGTTTGAGCGTCAATTTTTTGTATGGAGTTACTTTTTCTATTATATTTGAGTTTCTGAAAAAAAAACTAGGTACTTTCTAGATATACAAGACAACTCTTTTATTATGTTAAGCTAAGGAACATATTATCATAAAATACACTCAAAGTTATATTATAATATGTAATTTTAGTATAGTAAGTTCTTTAATTTTAACAAAAAAAATAGTTGTCTTACATTTTTAACACAACCGGATTCCTTTTAAAATATATTTGATAACAATTCTCTAGTTTTTCAGTTTTTCAATATAATAACGTTATTGTTAAATTGTATTTTTTTGTTAGGACTTGAATTAATACAAATAATGCAATACTTAAAACAACTTTACTATTTACCAAACAAATTATTGTAAGTAATTGGTTAATCATTGCTTAAATTAGTTGTGAAATATAATAAAATTAAATATTACAATTATTACTTGTCCTATTTAGCAAATATACATTGTTAACTATTGTGTAAAGGATTAATAATGTTAATCAAAAAGGCTAAGGCCTACTTAATGTTGTACTATTATTATGCATTTAAGTATTTACAAAGAGGGAGGGATGGAGTATTATTATTTTTTTAAAGTAATTAAAACTACTATTTCTTACTGATATTTTTTTGACTGGAGAATGATAAAATACCAAAATTTACCGCAAAAGATCTACATAAAAAAATGGGTATACTTAACGAATAAAAATATATAATCATTTATGAAATGCTTAAAGACTTCATGGATGAATAATTTATTCTTCAATATATTAATAAAAAAAGTATAATTATTTTTTTATAATAATTATTGTGCTTGGAAAAATATATTTTTTAATTAATAGAGCATTAGCGTGTTTGAAAAAATATAAGAAGGAACCGTCTTTGAAGTTTTCTTAAAATGTTTAAACGTTTTCAAAGTAAGTTAAAAAAGTTCTGAACAAAATAATAAGCGATATCTTGAGATATATATAATATATGTAATTGTTTATGTTTTAGGACTAAACTTAAATTTAATTATTATAGTTTACCATAATATATAACTGGCAGAGATCGATTCGTTATCTTCACATACAAAAGAATACACTGTTCTACCTTCCAACATGAAATATATTATAAGTCTTATAAAACAATTATTTCAATTACAAATTAGAAAATCATTTTCTACTGGAATTTTAGGTCGATGGCTACCATAACTATTGATGAGCACAGCTTTCTTTTGGTCTTTTAAGCTCAATACATATTTATACTGTTCAACTATAAAAGTAATACTAATTTATTAAATACTTTTTTATTACAGTTAATTGTGTGTTTACTATGTAATACTTATCAATAGCTAAAACGTGATCGTTATTAACACAAGTTAATTTTTTGTTTACCTATATCATAATTTTTTGACAAAAACAAAATCCATTGTTTCGTGGTTTACTACAATTTGACATTATCAAACAATGTCTCTACCATTTTTTTTTTTTTTTTTGAAGCTATCTGTTATTTTCGAATAATTCTATGCACTGTGTTTGTTATTTTATAAGTGAATCAAAATAATTATTTAACTCCTTAAACGTTATTTTGTAAAAAACAAAGCATTATTCAAGGCAATTATGTTTTGTTTTTATTGGTTTTAAATATTTTTTTCAGGTTTATAATGCCACTAGTAGTGATAATACAATACTGAATTCAATATTAAACACAGTACAGATGACTTAAACAATAATTATACGTATACAAATTTGTACACTTTGTTACCTGTACACTATTATATCTCATACCAGATAGCAACAGATAGTCTATTGGATGCAAATTCTGTTAGGTAATGATTAAAGTTTGTGTACCGGGAATATCACGTACCGTATTAATCTTGTGTCGAGACGGAGTGTACAATTCGTCGAAAATCCTATTGAGCACTATAGTTATAATATTTTGATAATCCTAAATTACCTAATCAAAACGCCTGCCCGTTAAATTATATTCAAATAACTGATTCTGCCGAATACAAAGTAGCCGCATTAATAATAATTTTAGCTTTAAACTTAATTCTAAACTACAGAAGTACCTGTTTACATTATATTGTTATGAATAAAAAAAATCCATTAAAATAATTATTGTGGTCTTATAATAATAGTTATAAAGAAATAATTTCCATTTTAAGCAGGTAACTTCTACATTAAATCCGTTAACATATTGTATACAGATCATCATATTAATAATAATTTAAGTAGACAGTTGCTCAGCACAGTCTATTGTGAGCGCTGAAGATGATAATATTGCATTATTCAATTTTTATTTTTTAAATATTTTTATTTAATTTATTTAAATTATTTATTTGTTTGCTTAATACACCGTAACCAAGAGTGTTGTTTAAGTTTATTTTATTTTAGCTACGATGCTAAACTTAAAAGTTATTGTTCTTACAATATATGTTTTTTTTGTTCTCTGTGTTTTTATAGAAAACTATTTTTAGAAGAAATTACTTTATAGAACAGGAATAGTAATTTAATATTCCTTTAAAAATGTAATATTTGTTTTATGTTGTTTTGATATAATTTATTGTAGAGCATAATATTATATTATAACAGTGTATAACAAAACATATTCTATTAAATATTTATATATATTTATAGATATGAACAAGATCATAAATGTATGTGAATAAATGGACGTTATCGGGTTTTCGTGGTATTATATATTTTTCGTCCATGGTCTTTTTCCGTCCGCCGGCGACAGTTTTTTTCCACATCAAGCTATTTGATCTCTTTTTTTTTGTCCCACTTTAAGCAATACTATATTGTATCTCCTGAAATAAAAACGATACAAATGCTACCAATATTTCCGAACTCACATGATAACTTTGAAAAAAGTCAATGTATTTATTGTCCAAATAGTGTCTTAAACACTTTTTAAAGTCCATGATATGTTGACATAAGAGATACCGAAGTGAAACCGATAAAACAATATTACAATAATTAAAGTTATTCTTGGTACTCCTAAATTTATTTTATTTTACTTTAGTTTTAAATAATTCAAGCGATTTAAACGCCTGTAAAATTAAAAAAATATTAAACATTGCTATTTAACAATGGCTGCTTGCACAATACAAACCTATTTAGTTTATATTTAATAAATAAACATAGTTTTTAATTATTATGTATGTTAATTTTTGTAGGCAATAGTAAATACAGCTTTTATTGTAATGTATTTTATGCTATGTTTCAGTGAATTCAAGACACGCGATGTTAAACGTGTATCATACCATTTTACGGAGCGGTTTATAATTTTACAAACTTATCTCATGCGTTTCTGGGAAATGGTTGTTCATTTCATCTTAGTCGCGCTACTTGTAAACGGTGAGTGCAAAGTTTTGATATTTTAGTATAATTTATGGTAAACATAGAAAAATTAAAATAAAAACAGTTGTTACACAAGCTTTTAATTTTTTACGGCTTCTGGATTTAATAGATTGTTTCTTCATTGAAAATACAATTTTATAAAATAAATTATACATATGCAATTTTTCATTAAAAATTCATTGATTTTTTTTATAATCAAACTTCATTATTACACTTTACACAAAGAATTGAAAAAAACTGACCGTAATCCATAAATTATACTTACACAATTTTTTTTCTTTTTGATTGACATTTTTTTAATCAAACTACAATATTGTGTATTCATTTTAAATATTTTTCTTTATAATTAGATTTCATATTAATCATTATCATACCTTTTAATTATTAGCTCAGATTTTATAATACTTAAATATTTTAAAAATCAATTTACAGTTTTTTTTTTTACTTTATTATTGTATGATTTATTTGCATAATAATATAAACTTCATATCTTATCTTAATAGTCTAAAGTAATGATACAAAACTAGGTATTTCGCTTACATTGATTGTGTTGCATCATAGTGATAGCTACGACTGTATGGTTTATGTAAAATATTCTCAGATAATTTGTCAAGACACAATGCAGTCGAGTTGTTTACGTATTAAAACGATATTATTTGTGATAAATTGCTACTTAATAACATGGTAATGAAATGTCTGTCAAAAGGCTGCACATGGGGAGCCGAGTACTATATGGCACATTACAAAAACCTCTTCATTACTCGTGTCTCACGATAAGAAGTTAATTTTACTCTGGCTGCCATCAATAACGAGTAACCTCCCGCCAACAAAACCACTGGCAATTAAAATAAATTACTTTGAAATTCAGGACCCATGTCCTTGTTCCCCTCCAGCTTGTTGTAGACTTAATGTTCTCTAAGCCAAACTTTGGCTCTTCCACGAGTCCAATCTGCTTTATGTTTGAAAACGCTGAGATTTGAAGGGGAAAAAAATATGTCAACTCCTTTTAAATAATAAAATGCAGTGTTCCGTTTGTGTAACGAAGTGTCGCCAGCAAACATTGTGCATTTTGTTTTGCTTCTCATTAGCGTTTTTATGCTGTCTTACATTATTTTCGTTAGGGCCGCGTTGATTAATGGCCGGCGGGTATAGACGGCGATTTTCGGAAGATCCGAGATAATAGAAAACGCATTAAGAAGACGTATAGGCATTGGTATACGATCGGTAACGGTTATGTTAACGATTTCCTACATCAATTGCCGTCCGTCGTTCAAAAACATTACTTACTAGTACTTACTTATGGTGTATACGGCCGGCATAAGTGTTACATATTTAATCGCCGCGTCGTTATAATACACCTGTTATTGGGAACGCGGTAATTTAGAGGTAATCGCACATTATATAGTGCGGTAAAGGAGGGGCAGGGGAGGGGAGGGAAGCGTTTTTAGAAACATTTATTGCCACCACACTTTATCCGGCTATCGGGTCGTAAATTCAGCGGTTTCAATTAGGCCGGACAAACATTAATTTTCAACGGTGGCCGCGTCGAAGCTGTTATATTACTGCGGCCGTTGTTGTTGATGATAATATAACTTGTGTGTGTGGTGTGTGTGTGCTATAATATGTGTATTTATATAGATGTATAGTACTACATTATTATTATTTTTTTTTTTTATTAATCCAATCTACTTCGGGGCTTAAGACAAAACGACCGTTGTCGACTCGAAAATAATGTAAAATGATCTATGTAGGCCTATTGCTACGGTCGCCAGGCACATTTATCAAACTCCGTCACGGCGAAAACAATAAGAACTCCTTCTGGTCACGGTTTTAACCCTTGACAGACGCGCAGAGCCGACGAGGAGCTGCTGCCGTTGTTGTAGTATTAACAACAGTAGGTACATGTTATTATTATATAGCCACACCGACGGCAGTGCAGCAATGGTAGTGGCGTTGATGAGAGTGTACAGTAGACTGTAGATATATAACAGTAGGCAGATTATACACCGAACGCCGGGACATGCATTGCACATAGTATTTAATAGTATAGAAATAAAAACCGTTTGTTTCCGAACACCCTATATAACGCGAGACCCATCTATTTTAATTCGTCATTAGGGAACAACGCTGTCATTGGGAATTCTCCGGCGCGTTTTCTGTGTTTATAATGGACGGTCGATGCCGAACAACGGCGGCAAATAAAGTTATCTCGTTGGATTTCGGATAAAAGTTTTGACCCTGTCAAAAATGATTAATATTTCGTTTTTGTGTATTCGGCCGTTTTCCAATAGGCGTTTATTACATTTAAGTGTGCGCCCTTTCATTATAATCATTTGGTTTGACGGATTCGAAAAACTTTTGTCTCGTTCCCGCGACAATGTCCACCCGAGGTGGAGAGGATAATGTAAAAAATATCAATACAATATTATATCCGTTTTTCGGAATACATACTATTTTTTACTTAATTATATCAACATTAAAAAAAAACATGCTGGTACAGTATTTCTTTGTGTTAGTTCATAAGTAGGTTATACAAAACAGTTATTTTCACACACATTTAAATAGCAAAAAAAAACAAGTTGTACGCCTTTTTACTTTTTCGTCATAATTTTATGTGTTCGATATTTTTCTTTTCGTCTAGACCAATACGTGTTGTCGAGACAAAATTGTTTTAAAAGTTGTTTTTTAGCCGTCTAATTGCGCTCAAATATTTTTTAGAATCATACTACGATTCCCTGCCTTGATAAGATGTGTTATAGTATAGCGCAATAAAGCATCGATTAAATATTGCAATTATAATTTATTTTTTGTTTTCTTAAATTGCCAAAACTCTTGTAACACTTCTAGAGCACTATGTGTACATTTTTTTTATAAATGCAATAATACTTTAAAAAAAAAAAACACTATTTTATAGTTTCATAGTATACGCTGTAAAGTGTATAATATTTAGTTTTCAAGCAGTGCAGATAGAAGAGTTTTTAAAATTGAGTATTTCACTTGAAATAAATTAGACTCGCCACACTAAATAAATAATACCTATACTGAGTATTGTGAGAAGTTATTATTTATTTATTTAGAATGGATAGCGTTTTGTTGGAAATTTCTCAGTGAAAATATACACTTCAACATAAAGTTAACGGAAAACTAATTGGGAAAACAAACGATCATGATTGACAACGCGCCCTCCGCGTTGTTCCCATGGATCTCGTTGTTATTGTATATGTTCATGCGGATGTAATAGTTTCTAGAAGTTACGAATTTCGAACCAATCCTGCGTTCAAAACCCTTGGGATGTTAGCATATTTTATACAATAGGTATTCTCTAAAGCCTCAACAATTCTGCATTGATGAACACGAACCGCCAAACTAGTTTGGTACACCGGTTGTTATTGTTGATATAATTCTCATAAACTAAACTTCAACCGTGTAGATTATGATGATGTATTTTGCTGTCGACGTTTCGCCACACCCGGAGACTACAAAACCCAAACTAAAGCTTAACTTTTTCATAATGGTTCAACTTTTATCTGATTACTGTACACACAGGTGACGTGCGCTCCTTTACTATGTTTGACTTGACGTGACAATAAATGACCATCAGGTGTATGAGATCACGGCGTGCGCATGGCATTTGACACAAGGTAGTTCAAAGATTAAATGCATACAAATATGCAAACCGCAGATATTAGCGTTTTAAGTGCGGAATTTAAAAAAAATGCATTTGTTACACGGATAAGGATCAAATAAAACCGTTGTATAAAATACAAAATTAAAATTACACATTCTCTTCCTTTGTTCTTAATTATTAGAATACGCAAACATAATGTATACCTATTGAAAATGACTTTTGTTCCACCACATCTGAAACTAATGGCCATAGATGCCGGGTTGTATGTTATTACTAGATCAATAAAAAAAAAAAAAATATAAAATTATTTACTTTGTTACTAAACTTTAATAGAAATTTCATTGATGATTTCACATTTTATATTTACATTTCTTGTATTGTAAACGTGTGTTTTTTTAATTGTGCATTATTTTTTTTTCGATCTGATTTTCCAACTAAGCAATAAAGCATGTATTTACATTTCCCAGTACTTCTATACGCTTCGTTACATAGAACATTTTATTTGGCAAAGAACGCTTTCAACACACCTACAAATTAATGATATACACACTTTCTATCAAAAGTTGTTATAAATCTCTCTAAAATGTTTTTACAATTTTGTTTTATTTTCGACACGGTATAAACCATAACGAAACATATGATATTAAAAGTGCAGTTGTTGAAACAACATAACAATGAAAACTTTACCCACTTAGGATATCTGTTATCAACAATTGTGTAACTAAAAAAAATATAACTACTGCTAAAAATAAAATTTTTATGTCAATATTAACTTTAAAAAAGAATATAGGAATAATGAAGTATTATTATTATTATTACGGCCTTAAAGTAAAAATTAATTGACCTTGTTTAAATTTAAAGGTCTGTATGTAATAACAACCTAACTTATTTTCAAGTTTACTTTTATTTTTTTAGCTACCAAATAGCTCAAAAAATATTGAACACATTTGTTTTATTTTAAATCTGTTTCCATAAAATGTGTACAGTGAACTTTATTTAATGTAGATATTTCTATATAACTATTGATATAGCTTTAAAAAATGACCCTGGAAATTCGTATTATTATTGACATTTCTTTCATTATATTTTTTTGAAAATTAATTACATTATATCAAGGGCTAAAACGCAATAGTGTTACGAAATGTAATTGTATATTGCACTGACAACGTATTGGAAGTACTAAATAAATTGCTTTTAAAAGGGCACTTCAAAGTGAACTGTGTTACTTTAGATTTTTAGGTTTATATCTTGGGGATCCCACAAAAATCCATAGGATTTTATCATAGCATTCAACAGAGATATAATCCCATCAAAATGTATAATGTGCTCTTATATAATGCAATTAAAGATAACAATGAGCTGTTAATTA